ATTAAGAAAGAGAATACACTTTTATAACACAATATTCACATCTTTCTGAGAAATACTTGAAGTACATTTAGTCAAGGGTCATATCACAATCATGATTTAAATACCAGTAGTAATGTCATGAGAGCTATAGCATAGTGGTTGGTGTGTTAGTCTCAAAGTAAAATGAAACTCAGAATTTTTATTGCTACTTCATGTACTTCGAACCCCAGGAATACCATATTTAATCTTTTTTTATAACAGAATAATTTTTGCTGAGAAAATCTTCCTCAGAAAATTTTTATCATTACTTCATAAACATCAATAATAAGAACTTTACTCTAAATACTTAGAATTCACAAATTTAATATGATTTTTATATATCTGAAACTATTGGCATTCTGCACGCTTTGTTCACCCATCTCCTTTAATTCAAAATATGGGTATTGTAAATATCATTAATGTAAATATTTTTATGAGCATAAGCCGGTGCTGCCGTTATCATATCTTTTAATGTTGTTGTTTATTATATTTAACTGTTAATTAGAGGTATAATCATTACTAATGAGTGTAGGTAAATTTGAGCCATATTAGGAAACAGTGTTTTTCTCTTGGTCTATTACCATTTGATTTATAATAATAATTTGACCTCAAAATCAGTTGGAATCTTCAAGTTCCAGGGAGTTAATATATATATGATATAAAATGTAATTACAAAAGCTAAAGTTAAGTTTCATATTTTATTATATTTTATTGCAAAAGCTTAATATTAAGGACTTTTTAAGTTGTAATCTAGAAACAAAAATGTTACAAACAGACAAATGGACAGACCCAAATTAATATCCTCTCATTTAAGTGAAAGTGGGCAACAAATATTCCCCCTAAAATATCTGTCCTGCCATAGGCCAGTGTATCAAAACTGAATATTGACAATGTTTTACATTAATCTGACAAACTGAAACTTCTGAAATCTTGAGAAAAAATTATTCATTAAAAAAAAAAAAACCCTTCTATGGCCCAATCTCTTCCTCAGTTGGTAGTAACATATCTGAAACTTTACTACAAGCTGTAGTTTCCACATAGTTTAATTCTTTTCATACAATGTGTGTCATTTGTCTTTTCTGCAATCTTTTATAATGCTGTAGCAGATATATTTTTTTGTAAATCCACATGAAAATGCATGAATGAATGAGATTTATCTATAACTGTGGCTAAATTTAGTTTATCATCATACCTTTTATAGCTATCAGTGTACATTCATCATATTTTTATGGTCATGCACAAAATCTTAAGCTGTACAAGACATTATCTAATTTAGTACCATTTGGATATTTAAGAAGACTGGAAAATGTATTCCTGGACCAAACCAAATTATGGGGAAAAGTCACAGACAACGAAGATTTAAGAATTATGATGCCAAAGAATCTAAAGCTTCCACTTATGTATTACATGACTTTAATTGACCCAACATTTGACAAGTGCTCAACAGAAATAATTCTTCTCTAGAAATTCAGAAAGTCAGGTTTTAAACTGGAGTATCATACTTGACAAATCCAAAAACCATAAAGGCCAATTATTGAGTTCTGAAGAATCAGTCTGGCAGGTTACCCGGTTAAGTTAGCAATATGATGCACAGAAATTACATTTTTTCACTTTTCTTTAAGGGGGGGGGGGGGGGGGTGTCATACGAAAATGTGAGTTTATAATATATATTTTAGTTCTTATATGAAAAGGTTACAGGTACATGCATTTGGGTCCAAATTATTACAAATCTAAGTGTTGACTTTCTAACACAGATCCATGCAGTCTACACCATTAAAGGTTTCAGAAGGCAAGCTTTACATTTAGTCAATTAACAAGGTGGGTTGTTAATGACTATGCATTTTTTGGGGTCCAAAACTTCACATTTTATAAGAGTTTCATTGTATCTGATTGTTCATTCCAAATTCTTAGAACCTGTGAGCTAGAGATCTGAAGTATAATTTTATTATTTTTACACATCAGTGTGTAACATTGTAACTTGATTTTTGTGTTGCCTAGTACAGAGCAGAGACACTTATATGGACACATATTTTTGGACTTGTATTGGTTGGCACTAGGAGCCTTTTGTAAAATACCATGGTTACCATCCTCCTGTTTTTTCAATATGACCTTTGACCTACTTTTCAAAACACTTCAGTTTACTGTTCAGTTCGGTTTATTAAAGTCAAGAGTCATACATCTCATTATAGACAATATATTTACACTTCATATTGCCAAAATACAGCATATTTTGGACATTTGAGAGGTAGTTGTCTGTGTTATTTAGCATGTGCATTGTTTGTCATAAGACTTTATGAAAAATACCAGTGTTGCAGTCCACATGACCTTGACCTTTGACTCACTTAAACTGTATGATATACAGTTACATGGTCATAAACTGATTGAACTTTAAATATACTGTGAAGATACATTAGGATTGGTCTACCAAAATGGAATGTACTTCAAATAAAATTGTTGACTGACAATTGCAGTAAAGAGAGACTGAAATCTCTTTCTAGTTATAAATCTGAGGGATTGTTGAATTAAACATGACTGTATGAATAAAATACATAAATAATTACTTATAATTGTTCATTTTACCTTTGAGGTTTGATGAATCAATTATTTCTATTTGATTGTCACACTTGATGATAAATGCTATTCTTCTGCAGTCTTTATTTGTTAGATTTAAAACAAATGCATAAACTATAGTACTGGTATGCAAATAATTACCTGACCACTCTTAAACTTATTTATATCTTTAATGATGCTATAACAGTGGTTCCTAATGGAACAGTCTCGTCATTCAAATCTAAATGCTTTTAATTTGAATATTTGTCATTTAATTTTTTTATCAGGGTAATTAAAGTTTAATTTGATTTACAAAATAAACTAATTCTGTATCAATTAATACAAATTCCACAACAGTATATACAAGTAATGCCAAACAAAATCAACAAATTCCTGATCGAGAAAAAAATCTTTTAATTATGCATGGCTTCACTGCAATTCAATCTCAGTTCTGGATATTGGAAGAAGTCTGCTTTTCAAACATCTTCAACAGTGTTAGTTTAAGTATTGATTATACTGTTTTTCCTTAGTATTGTTGTTACCATGAACTACAGAAGACCATACAAATCATGTACTGGTAATCTCAAGCTTTCTGAATCATCCTGAAATGACAGCCATTGTTTAAGGACATCGAGGCACAAGGGCAATTAAAAAGTCCTTTAAGAATATCTTTAGCATTGAAGATTTACCCTTAATCATCATCAGTTATTTTTATATTGCCTAAGCACCACTCCTTTTCTTCAACAACCAAAAAAAAAAAAAAAAATTAAATTGATGTTTCCAACAACAAGATCCTATTAAAGACAAATTCTAGTAGTTATGTTTAAATACACGTATGTTGAAATAATTTTTAAAATTGCTAGCTTGCATTGCCAAAAAAAAAATAAATAAATAAAATAAATAAATAAATAAAAAAAAAAAAATTAAATAAATAGATAATAAAAATTAAAAAAAAAAAAAACCCACACACATAATTTTTTCATATTACACATGTGTATTCCTTGTGACAAGAATTTCCTTTGGGTACCAACAATTTTTGACCCTTTGACCTTGACCCACTTTAGAAAAACATTAATCAACATTCTTAACTTCATTATTTGTACAGGTTATAAATTTATATGGATAAGGGCTACCCTAAAATGTAATCCACAAAATATGGGCCCTAACTGGTTATATGTACATAATAATTCACAACTAGATATCATTGAGATGGTGGCCATCTCAAAGGGCCCCGCTTTCAGCAATGAACATGGAAATGTAAGGTAGCTGAAAAGGGTTTATTTTGAAGAGGAACATTTGTTTACTATTAAGGGATGTGTTGTTTGAGTCTAAAGGGCTTCTATGTTATCCTCGTTATAATAAGAAATGGCACGAAAATCACGAGTGCTCAACACCTTCCATCAAAAAACGGCACAAAAATCACAAATGCTGCATATCCTCTATGAAAATTGTTGCATATCCTCTATCAGAAATATGGAAGGAAAATCACAAATGATCCGTACCCTAAGTCAATTGGTAAGGTTTGAGGCTGACTGGACTTAAGGGAGAGAAATTATGCACCGAACAAAGATTTTAATCAGAAAGGCTATTTTTGAAATTGACCCTTGACCTAGAAACTTTGTTCAAGGTCACTGCACATCCACTGACAAGTGGCACTCTGTGAGTGAAGTATGAGCCACATTGGACCAAGGGGAGACAAGTTATGCTCTGGACAAGGACTTTTCATATAATTCTGCTATGACCTTAACCTAGACCTAGAAACATGGTTCAAGGTCACTGCATATCCTTTACCCAAAGGCACTCTGTGGGTGAAGTATGAGCCAGATTGGGCCAAGGAGAGAGAAAATATGCTCTGGACAAAAATTTAAACAGAGAGGCTTTTTTGACCTTGACCCTTGACCTAAAAACTTCGTTCAAGGTCACTGCACATCCATTGACCAGTGGCACTCTGTGAGTGAAGTATGAGCCACATTGGATCAAGAAGAGAGAAGATATGCTCCGGACAAGGATTTTTCATATAATTCTGCTATGTCCTTGACCTTAGACTTAGAAACATGGTTCAAGGTCACTGCACATCCTTTACCCAAAGACACTCTGTGGGTGAAGTATGAGCCAGATTGGGCCAAGGAGATAGAAGATATGCTCCGGACAAGAGATCTCAGACGGACAGATGGACGGACGGACGGACTGATCACTATAGGGCACCCACAGAGCAGGGCCCTAATAAATACCCTTTATTCAAATGTATGTCTATGAGCAAAGAGATGAGACAAGAATCTTATATTTCCTCCTTGAATTACACTAGCCCTGTGTAACTCCAGGTCTTTGGTAATCAGGCTGTGTTGCAAAAATGCTCTATACTCAACAACAAAATTGCAAAATTGACTTTTCTTAAAAACACATTCTGGTATGATATTACAACTTACCACAACAATAAATATATGGTTCATTAATTTTGGGCTATGATGCAGACACATCTGAAATGTTGGGTTTTTGGAAAGGCTGTGAAGATGACTGGTGTCTCTTCTTCATTTCTAGCTCTATCTCTTGAATTAGGTCAAAACTGCCACTCTCCTGTTGAAGTAAAATATTATGTTTAGAATATCAATATTATTATATCATAATATAAACATTGATTAAATGAAACTGTGTACATCAAAGAGGTTATAGATATTGACCTCTACCATTTTCAACTGAACTGATTCCAACTGATTCCTTGATAAACACTTATCAGTTTAATAAATCCTTTATTATTTTTCACACTATATGTCTTTTAGAAACTGGTTTAGTTCATTATTAACTTATTAATTGTCTGGTATAATAGCTATTTATAGTAACATATGAGATAAGCTTAAGTTTTAAAGTAAATTTAATAGATTTTTTTATTCCCATTTTTGATAGGGAAAAAAAAGGGACCTAAAACTCACTTTGTACCAAACTGGGATTTATAACAAAAATCAATTTACAGTCCTTTTCATGTGTAAAAAAAACAGACACTATTTTTTTAAAAATTACAAAACATCTTCTCAAAACCTTCAGCTTTGCATGGGCAACATTTTTGTCTTCAAAATGTGTCAAATCAAAAGCTGCCCAAATTTTTAAGTAAAGAACCATTTTGTTAAATACAATCCATTTGGCAATTAGGTTGGTCGACAATTTAGGATGCCATTTTTATATGAACACTCATGCACATTTACTTCAGGTGTTAATCAGTCACACCAGAAATTTATGGTTTATATACTGTATACAGGTTTTAATATATGCCCGCCCCATTTATTTTTGCCGCTTTCATCCTTGTTGCATGAGTACAAATTTAAAATAGTGAATTCAACAAAAATGGAGTAAAAACATGTGTCTGGGTGATTAAAATGGGCTAAAATATTTGCAAGTGTGATAGGGTACTGGGGCCCATTTACAAAAGAACCAAAATTTAATTCTGTTTATAACTTTCTTATTTAAATTATATTGAAAATGGTTTTAATCTTTTTAAAAGGAATGTAGTAAGAAATTTTTACACTGGCAATTTTTAATAAACAGAATCTTTAATTTTGCAAAATTTTACAATCACCTAAAGTCTTTCGTCTTATGCCCTGTTCACATGCAGAGTTTAATTCAAATTAAATGTAAGTTACTGCGAATTAAATTTGAACAGCGTTCACACGAGGAATTTGATGCGAATTTATTTAATTTGAATTAGTTTACTGTGCATTAAATTACTTAACATTAGCTCCGTGTGAACACTAAGAGAAGCTAATTCGAATTAAATTTTGATGCGTGTGTAATGGCAAATTAAGTCACATGCCACATGTAGGTGGTCAGACATAGGTACTTATGCTATTTTTTAGTGAAGAACAAAGGAAAATTACGTTAATCACTGAAATGTATACAGACACTATGACATTACGTCAATTGGATCTGCTCTGCATAAGGTGACATGATTTGAAAATGCCGTCATAATAGCTTTACTGAAATACTGAATAACCTTACTGTAGAAACAAAATTTCAATTCGCATTATCTTACTTCACATTAGATGTCGTGTGAATGCAACTAAATTTGCATTAGTTTAATTTGCATTATTTTACTTCACATTAAATTACTGCAAATTAAACTCTCCCTGTGAAACAGGGCATTAGTCGTAACTTCTTTTGTAAAATGGGCCCCTGAAAATATAACCCTGTATACAGTACTTCATTCACAATATTTTAGCTTGTGGTGAAATAGTCTAAGATAGTGCATGTTTATCCATACGTCATAAAGAGGGGCTTAAACACCTTAATGACACACCATTTTCATGTAACAGTTTTGGGAGGTACATGATTAATACAGTAGACTTAAGCAACTTCTTTCTAGGTCTCTGCACATGCAACAGAAGCTGAGGACTATACTGAAGTTCTTTTAGCTTATTTGATAAGTAATGCTAACACGGATCAAAGTAACTTATTTCTTATACATGTTATAGCTCTAGAATGACACATTCTTAAATATGGCAACTATTAGACATAATTGGTAATATATGGATTTCATATAAAATATATGTCAACTTATTACCTTAATTTGGTCAATGCAAATATATATATATATATATATATATATATATATATATATATATATATATATATATATATATATATATATATATATATGAATTCTAAACAATATGAATTCTTAATTTGGTCATGTTAATTGCAAAGAGGTTATTACTTAATAGCTAGATCTATATGATCAGTATTGTTTTTAACGGGCACACAGTCATGAAAAAAATAAAATAGTTTTGGTACAATGGAGTTTTATACACACTTGATTGTAATAAATGCCCATCATACACCATCTTGCGACTACCATTCATCTCACCGATCATGCCAGTGTAGTTTGATTTGAATTTCAAGCAAAAATTGTACCTGTTCAGATTTAACATCAGATGAACCTGTGGTCTCTGAGGCTATGCTTGAGTTCGGGGTACTTTGGCATTGATGATTTTTTTGCCCTAAGTCTTTGCTGTCTTTTTCACTGTGTCTATGCTGTTGACACTGAATATCCACCACTTTTCTCCCATCAACTTCTGCAATATTCACAGTTAACACATCCTCCTCTTCATTTTTATAAGATTCGTCACCAATTAAAGCACTGAATGAAGCAGAGTTTGAAATTGCTGATTGATCTCCAACAAGTTGAGCATTGATTAAGTCTTGTTTAAACCAATTGTCATTAGCTTCTGATGATTTTGTTTGATCAAATGCCACCCACTCCAAATTCTCTGTGGATTTACTTTCATTAATAAGAGTCTTATTCTCAAAAAAGTTTGGACTGACTTCAACATGACCTCTTGAAAGTACAGGACTTGCTGTTGGGGTTAGGTTGGGAGGAAGAAGTACCCGTCTAGGTGAGGGGGTAGGGCTTACTCCATCATCCTGCACAACAACAGCAGACTTTGTCCGGGAAAATAGCTGATCTTCATTAAAGTTAAACACAGTTAAATTATCTTTCTGACTAGATTTTAGTTTCCTTGGACTTTTATGCTTATGACTGAATTCTTCTCCAGGAAGTTTTATCTGTAATTTTACTCCACTTTCAATACATGACTTTTTCTCTGGAGAGTCAAATTCCTTGACATACTCCTCAAAAGTGTGGACATTTATTGGAGTTGTACTCCGAGGTCTTTCAACAGGTGTATTAGTTACCTGAAGTCTCTGTATTTTTTTCTCTAAAGCCTTCCTTTTGGACTGAATTTTTTCATTCTGTAGTTCTCCAAGAAGAGTTGAGATTGACACTCTTGGTAATATTGGGGAAGATGTAGGTGTTGGTTCACAGGAACTATCATTATTAAGATGGATAGAATCTGAAATGTGCTTAAAGTAAGATGTTTCAAAGTGAAGTCCAGAATCAGAATCACCAGACTGTCTGCTTTCCACTTTCACATATCCAGAACGTAAATACCCACTATCAGAATCGGAACTCTCAGAATCTGAATCTGAACTGTTACATGGTGGGGGAGAAGCTTTAGTTATGGCATCATCAGTATCCCTCTCACCTGCATGATTCTTTCCCTCCTTGGGTTCTGATATTTTTTTGTACGTTTTGGCGGTTAAAAATTTTCCAATTTTCTTTCTAAGTTTAGAATCACATTCATCAAACACATTTTCATCTCCTGACTTTTTGATGGATTGGTTAATTTCATGCTGGTTGTTAGTTTTCAATGCTCTAGTATTCACAGAAACGCCTCTGAAAGCCTTTTCTTCTTCTCCAAGGTCAATAGTATCAAAAGATGCTAAGGGAGCCCGAGATGAGTCATTCTGCATTATGCCCAGGAATAATTTGCTCCCTTATATAGAATGACAGTAAAACAATAATACTGCATCACTCAAGTTTTCCAACAATATCTCTTCAATATTCCATGAAATGTAAGTATACTGAAGTGTAATACTGCATCATTATCTAAAACAGTATATATAATTCTGTAAAATCAATAAACCGAAAGGAAAGTTTGACATCACCACCACATGTGATAATGTACATATATTCCAGGTTTGAAGAAGTTTATTAATCACAGTTTCTTCCTGAGATATATATGTCTCTCACTATTAATTAATGACCCCTTTCCAATATTCTAGATCAGATGTAGACACCGAGTTTGTATAGACAGGTATAAACCACAATCAGCGAAATTATAATGCACTATGCCATTTTCCAAAGATAGTCAATTTCTAATCATATGTATATAAAAAAAATAGTTTTGTCCAACATCATGATATAATTCGCATTAACATGTAGTGAATCAGCAAAGTCCTACAGGCTACATGTATATAAATGATGATACTGAACTGTCAAAATGTGAAATGAACTGTGACTAATTTAACGTTTTTTGTGGTGAAGCATTACAGTTATTACAGCCTCAAAACGTAAGAAAAATTATTGATTTCATTTCTGAATAGGATTTTTTCCCCTGCTCTTTCAAGTGGCCAGTAAACGCTCAATAATGATATCGATTAACAGAATTTCTGCTTCTGACATTTTCTTCTTCCGTTGGAAGTGTTTACGGAAATGACGTAACGGATATTTCCTAAACTTGAATGCGCAAGTGCGGCTTCCTTGTCAACAAGTTGCTGAGCATGTGCTCGTTTCACCAAATTTGTATAGTTTGTGTTTTACCACAGTTTCTGGAGAAAAAAGTGAGTAACAATGATCAACAGATGACTCATAAGGATTCATATTATTGACCATATTATTAAACATTATTTATTTTTCTATTTAGAAATACAAAATTAAAAAATGGACTTGCAAGAGGCTGCATGCATGGTTATTTGTTAGAATAAGCTAACTCGGGATAAGCCCTCACCACGGTTAAAATCCATCCCCTGTACTTACAATGTACAGTGTAACAAAACACGGAGCAGATCTGCTCCTGTTCGATTTAGAAGAAAACAAAAAAGTAACACTGAAAATAACCACCAAATTAATCATAAACAGGTCTAGGAAAATCACTATATTTAGCTATATAGCTAAATCTACCTATATAGCTTTATTTACCTATATAATATAGCTTTATTTAGCTATTTCAGAGTAAATTTCTGTTTTATGAAAAGCAGACAAAAAGTCGCATAATGAGGCAGTATTAGTTTTCAACTTTGAAATGGACTGAAAACAATTCACCAAAAACCCACTTTTAAAAATGTTTCTCCTTTTGTGCAATTGCAATCAAAGATCTAAAAGTTTTGGGGCTATGTATAACAGTTAATCTGTGAATAAGCAGCTACTTTAACAAAGAAAAGCAGTTTTGGTCAACAAGATAATTGATTGGTAATAATTCAGCACAATGCAAGGCAATCACACTTAGTCATGCCTCATCGCACTTCCAGTAATGGACAGCTATCCAAACAATAGAGATGCATTTTTTGGTTAAAAAGTGTTTAAAAGAGGCAATGTTTTTACTATCTATGCCCTAGGTTGTTTTTATCAAACCTTTTTAAAAAAATATCAGCCATAATTTTCATGCGACTTTTTGTTTGCTTTTCATAAAACAGAAACTTATTCTAAAATAGCTAAATAAAGCTATATTATATAGATAAATAAAGCTATATAGGTCAATTAAGCTATATAGCTAAATATAGTGATTTTCCTGGACCTGATAAAAACTTTTTAATTGAGTTTGTACATGTATATGTAAAGAAAGAAATCAACACATTTTCTCAACATTTCCTTCTTCCTTCAAATTTGTATGTCATGCCAACATTCGTAACTCTCTGGATATAAACATAGAATTATCGATCTCTCCCTGTTTATTTTGCTATAATGCCAACACACATATATTAACGAATTCTATAATTAAATTAAGTCCTCAGGAGAATATCATTATAATCATGATAATGTAATGTTCTATCTACATGGTGTCTGAATGTTTTCATGCTGTCCTATTCCCCTTCCTTTACTTTGGATCACCCTCTTTTCTTCCCAATTAATCTCTCAATCCCCTTTGTAAATTTACAGACCTTGTCATAGGACATTTGCCAAATTATTTTGTTCTTAAAAAACATTCTGATTGTACACACAAGTACTCCAAACTTGATTTTAAAAAGATGCTTGTGTTTCTGATTAACAATATTTGTGTAGTTTTTGGAGATCTAGTCTTCCAACAATCTGTATGAATTCTCCTGGGTACTAATTGTGCCCCGTTATTAGCAGACCTATTTTTGCATCCATATGACATAGCAGAATTTATTAAAAAACTTCTATATGAAAAGAAGAAGTCTCTTTCTTTGGCCTGTAATTTGACATTAATTAGATATATCTCCATTACAATGCTGATGCATATTGCTTTTATAATCCCAGACTGCTCTGAATGTTACTGGGTATAGCCTCAAAGTTACTAAGATTCTATATTGAAAAGTAGAAATTTAGTGACACTAGCTGGTGTTGCTACTTTGCCTAGATGTTTCACAACTTCAATTTGCGGATAAAACTTTTGAGATGTGAAGATGAAAATATATGTCTCATTTATTTAAATGTTCAACAAGATATGTTAATTTGGTCTGTAAAGCAATTTCGTTAGAATAGAAATCATGGATAAATGGTTTGATTCATGTATGAAAGTTGTGTTCTCTTTTCATTGCTAAAGTATTACTTATAATAGGAAGGAAGAAAATGCTGGAATGAACATGAATTTAACATCCTGGACTCTCCACTCACTGTGCAAATGCTCCAACAACTAAGGGTTCTAATCTAAGTTAGGTTCCTAATAGTATATAAATGTATACAGGGTTATTTTCGCCCCATGTTATTTTCGCACTTTCAAACTTGCCAACAATTTTGCCCCGTTTTATATTCACCCAGTCATGGTCCTGTTTAAGAAATTATACTATATACTTTGAATTCGTCCTGTATTAAATTTGTCCACCTGTGAGTAGGGTGGTAGGGGCAAAAATAAAACAAGGGGCAAAATTTTCCCTGTATACAGTACATGTATATTTATATAAGAACCTAACTTAGATTAGAACCCTGGTACCATGAGATATTTACTGTGTGAATGCTGAACTACTTCAGCTTTATATTTCAAATATTTAAATTTTTGAATTTTACTTTCACTGGATCAATACTTGGAGAAAGAAGAATTTTAATAAAATCTGTCATGATTGAGTTGCTATCTAGCTCTTATTCTTGTACTAGCTCTTTTAACACCAAATTTAATGTTGTATCATTGAATAACTATTTAAATGCTCTGTGCTGTATTCATGATATACAATACATTAATAAACTAGAGGCAATTTACCACTTTGATTAAATTCTCAAAAAAGATAAAGTTTTATTAAATGGACTTTAAAATGATCTTCAGGAATAAACTTTATCTCAATCAAGTGTTAGTGATAAGTTAAACCTTGACTACAATTAAGCTCTTTGTTTCCAAGCATTTATCAACCAGTCTTTAAGTACTAAGGTATATTTCAGGTCGCAGGAACCAAAGCTCCAGTCAATAATTTTGAATATGTCAGCTTTTCTCTGTCTTTCTTTAAGGAGGTATGTTTATTATTCAAGTTTTTTTTTACTGACTGTTATTGTGTTTATTGAATATACAGCCAAGATGATATTTCTAAAAGATCTGAATTTAATACTTACTGATGAACTTGTACACTAGCATGTATAAATTTGCATATAACATAAGATTTTTTTTTATTACAAGAGATCATTATGCTTTCTAGTTATAGTTAGCTGGGGTAAACATCAAGGACTGAAACCTGAAATGTAAGTACTGGTACCATCTATATAGTGTGTCTTTGATTGTAAACTATGTACACCTATTCTCACATAATCCATCGAAATGCGCCACTGGGATGTTGCAAGCAAATTACATTATTCTTATAGTATTTGGTAAATATTGTAGTATTTTATTTGTGACATGTCTAGTTATCAAACTAACATCGTTAAATGGTTAATTTGATTGATTGATAGTGTGTTGTTTTAATTAAGTCCTGTTTGAGAATTTTTCATTCATATAGAGAAGTATTAGAGTAGTATTTTATTTGTGACACGTCTAGTTTCCAAACTAACATCATTAAGTGTTAATGTGATTGATTGTGTATTGTTTTACGTCCCATCCGAGAATTTTTCACTCATATAGAGACGTCACCATATACCGGTGAAGGGCTTCAAATTAATAGACCTTTACTTGGCACTCAGGGCCATTGAGCAGTGAGGGTTCTTTATCGTGCCAATGCCTGTGAGATCCAAATAATTTATACTTATAAGTCTAATAAATGGCTTTATGATCTGTCACTTAGGCAAAAGGCAAAGTTTTGGCCATTGAATAAAAAACAGCAATTAAATTTTATTCATAATATTGCAACTTATAAATAGATCAATACATTAATATTTGGAATTTTCACTTTCTTAGATTTTAAATGTCTCAAGTGAAATTTTGAAAAAATATACAGTAGGGCTTCACTATCTCAAACACTATTATCTCGAATACCATGGATATGTCAAAGTGATTTGGAAGTCCCAACCACTTTTTCTTAAGTATTTTACCTTCGATATCTCGAATCCGTGGATATCCTGAAGTTTTTTCTTGGTCCTATCGAGTTTGAGATAATAACTGACTAATTGACTGTATAATAAATATGTCACTCATGTTGTGTAATTTGCATTATCAAAACCTCAGTATTTGTGTAAATAGCATAAATGTGAATCTTACACCATCAAATATCTACTAGAATATCCAACAAAGTCCATGAAACGCAACCAGAAACAAAGAAAAGTTACATGGCAGATTAATTAGAGAAACACATGGCTCCTTTGATCAGAGGTGATTGGTTCGTTTTAAGGATATAACAGTATTTTATGTTTTCAACAATAATTAAAGAATGCAAGTAAAATTGTCTTTGCATGTTAATTGATTTATTCTTTCTGTCATACCAATTTTAACCAAAAACCATTAAAACAAGCATTGATCTGTGCGAGTACCCATTTTATACCAATTAATCTTATAGAAAGTAATTTATGTAATATATGTTATAAGTATAATACACTGTATGTTTCCTATCTTGCATATACAACTTTTACAGTCATTATTTGGGGGAGAGGTGCTCTAAAAACAAGGAAAACTGAATATTCTTTATGGAAATAAAACAATTTTTTGACAGGGTCATTTCAACTTGAAGACAACAATGTAAATTACAAAGGAAAACACACTACCTACATTGCTTTTTGAATATTTTTGTCCTTACATAGTTAAATTTTGATATTTTGAACAAAAATTCTTCCATATTTTGTTTGCTTAAAAATGTTGACCTTTGGAAGTTAAACTGTATGTGGACAGATTATGTGAGAATAGGTGTGAGAGTAGGTGTGTAATATCTCAAAATAAGAGTAAATCTGATTTCTTGGTCACCATCAATGGTACCCTTTAGAAATCTGTAAAGCATATTAGCATTATTAAAACATAAACTAAGATCAATCCACAGAACAAAGCCCCTTTAAAAATTCAGAGTATGTAAATTTACACAAATGAAAAATCTATATCTATTTCAATTTCTAGATACTTAGTGCTGTTGTATTGTACTTTATATCATAGAAGTAGTATGATTGGCGTTTGAAATAAAAAAAAAATGTCTAAAAAGACATATTCATAGACTTCCTTATAGATCTTACAAAAACCTGAAGCCTTGGTTTACAAACTATTATTAATGTATTTGCATAGGAATTGAATAATCTACTTCTAACAATCAGGCAAACATTTTAAAGACTTAGCTGAGAAGAAAAAGAAGAGCTACATGTAGAATGTTTAAATGTCCTATTATACAAACATTTCTGTTTGATTGTCAGGTGTTTCTAATGTATTTAAAGTTTGCATTTCTTCTTTTCATACCATGGCTTTGAATAATGATAGACACAATCGCTTGGTTACTCATTGGGACCTTTTTTACAAATACTTTTTGAAAAAAAATATTGATTATGGTTTTTGATTGTTTCGTCTGTGCTTATAACTTGGAACACGATGGAATGGTAGGGATAGGTTAAATTGAAATATGTCATCTCTCTAATTGCTACTGTTATAGTCCATACTTCATTGTCTATAAAACACAGCTGTCAGGATACAATTGTCTTTTATATACATGTATATTATATTATATGATATGATATGATATTATATAATTTTATTTTTAATTTCAGAAATATTTCTTTTACTTTAGCAGTGGGGGCAGTTCATGTACTGAGTGTATTAATCGATGGCAAGTAAACAGAAGAAATCAAGCATGAAGAAGGAGACTCGATCAAATTCTGCTAAAGTATCAGCATCATTGAAGGAACAATTAATTAATAAGGAAAAGTTGGAGGAATTAACCAACCAAAATGAAGAATTACAAAAGATGATTAATAGATACAAGGAGGAAAACAGTGAACTTAGAGACAAAGTGGAATACCTTTCTAAAAAAATAGTTGAATATGGACAAAGCAAGGGATATGAGTTGTCTGAGAGTGAAAAATCTAAGATGCCACTGAATGTATCAGTAGAGAATTTGAATCAAATATTAGATTTAATTACAAATGGAGACAAACGTAAAAAGAAGGGACCTGTGGAGTTGAGAGTTGAGGAACTTGAAACAAGAATCACTCACCTGAATATGGAACTTGCCAAGATGGTACAATTAAGGCTGAGTCTAGAAAATGGCTTAGAGGATATAGAGTTTTGTGAGACGCTTGTAGATGCTAAAACAAAGGCTAGGTTTTTGCTATATGAACTCAGTAAGTTTTAGAATTAACCATGCCATTAGATTTTATATGTTATGCATTAGTTTTATCACACCTACAGTGATAGATGTACTGGTACAGTCTAATTTCCTCTCTAATCATTCTGTCGGGTATTGGTGTCCTCTGCAGTCAGTATTACATAAGCATCTTCAAAATATCAAAATAATACTATGATGTAAAATCTTAATGAATGCATGCTTTTCACTCAAACTTTCTCAATGTTCAATGCATTTTCAGTGTTTTACCTTAGACAAAGTTTAGATTCCACCAAGGATAAAGTTTCATGTAAATTAATAATGCTTCAAGGCCCTCAAGGTGCTTGATCGGCTTTACGTGGTGATGGGTAAACTTTCAATGCTCAAATAATATTAATATAGATTAATGGATGGATAACCCATAGGTATTTTTATACAAATGTTATTTAGACATATATTCAAGGGATTATTGGGATATGGGATAATTTATTTAAAAATTTCAGTTGGAACATAATAAATTTGCATGCAAAATGTAAAAGAAATTATACACTATATCTTTTTAAATTTATATTTATAATTAGATGTTTGACTGCATATATTTGTGGCTTATTGTGGCCCTTTTGTTCTTGTGAAGATATTTAAAGGTAGTTATATCCCACGTAACAAGTTGCGTGAGGTATAATGTTTTTGACAGTCAGTCAATGTGTCAGTCCTGTTTTTCTGTCAGCGCAACTCCTCATAAACCGCTGCACAGAATTTGGTCAAACTTTGCAGATATTTAGAAAACAATGTGTAGATGTGCATATTACCAGGAAATTCGATTCCATTATTTTTCTGGGAATTTCGTCACTTTTCAACTTAGATTTTTGGCCATATCTTGAATATAGAGATGAACAGATTGTCAGCACAACTCCTCTTAAACCGCTGCACAGAATTTGGTCAAACTTTGCAGATATTTAGTACACAGTGTGTAGATGTGCATATTACCAGGAAATTCCGATTCCTTTATTTTTCTGGGAATTTCGTCACTTTTCAACTTAGATTTTTGGCCATATCTTGAATATAGAGATGAAGAGTTTGTTAGTGCAACTCCTCTTAAACAGCTGCACAGAATTTGGTCAAACTTTGCAGATATTTAGTACACAGTGTGTAGATGCGCATATTACCAGGAAATTCCGATTTTGTTATTTTTGCCTTAAGAGTTTTGCCTATTATTGAAGAAACTTTCCAGCTAGGTAATAAGGAAATCCACTGGAATCAGCTTTTGTAATGAAATTTTGTGTGAAATATTCTATGACCTTAAATGACCCCTATTGATTTTGAGATCAAAATATTTATGATTTAACACACACACACACACACACACAAAATCTTGGATAGTTCTCACCAACCATCCCCCTTCTCCCCCCCCCCCCCCCCCCCCCCCTCAAATTGGTGCTTTGCCTTAAATAATTTCATAAGTACAGTATATAAACAAATTCATATGACTACATCATAATTTTGTTTCCATCATTTATTTAAATGTGTAAATTGTCATGTGTTGGACATGGACTTACACTCATTAACAAATCGAAATCACTGAGGAATTTAAATAACAGTTTGTCAGCATAACTCCTGCACTGAATTTCCTGAATGTATAGATTTGTATATTACCAAGAAATTTTGATTCCATTATTTATCTAGAAACTTCAGCCCAATTAAATTTGTAACATACAAAGATTTGAATGTCCTTATATGCAAGAAGTTTTGATGTGATGATTTTTTGCAAGTAATGCCCCTTTTTGAATTATACTGTGTATTTAAAATGCACTGTGCCATTCATTACGTGTTGCATTGTCAAGTTTTGGGGGAGCGTGGGGTATGTGAGCTTGCTCACTTTTTCTTTCATTCCAATATATTTTTATGTGAAAAAAGTTATTCCACACTGTTGTTCCAACATAGCTCCTGGGCTATGCTTTGAATAGATTTGAGTCTACACTAAATGGGGATGCTTTCACATTAATATGGTTAATGTTTTTCTTGCACTTGAGAAGAATTTTTAAAGAATTGCCCTTGTGTAATCTTTTGAAAAACAGACAATCTTTTATCCCCCCCCCAACTTAGCCCTGGTGACTAAGACATCTATGATACATGGGAGATTCTTGCATATCTTACTGACATGTATTTCTGATGCCCAGCTGACTTAAAAGGAAGATTTATAATGATTTTACAGACATGTATACACATGCAAATCTTGCACCAAAAGCTTTACTTAAAGTTACATGTATTTAAGGTTTATAAGGAAGCATTCATATAAATTTTATCTTTTTGGGTCTAGTGGTTCTTTAGAGGTAGACCTTTAAATGACCATTAGCTACTTCTACATTTTTGAAATTTATTCTATTAATTATCTCCCCTAGGGGGAATAGGCCCTACATTAAAAAAAAACCAAAAACCAAAAAAACTTGAAAGCCCTTTACCACGGGCATTCTTTGGGTGAAATGACTTGCTGGTCCTAGAGAAGAAGTTGAAAATGTCCGGCACAAAGTGCTGGAAAGGTAACAAAGTCTGACAAATATGATCTGATAAAATTCTGATCAAAAGAGCGTTTGGCTCAAGTGAGTTCATTGAAAGGAAAAAATATTTTTAAAAAATGGAAATGTTTGGTTATCATAACAATCACAATATATTTTTTGCAGGAGGGAATCGTCTCTTTTCCTGTTTGGAACAAGAAGAAGATGAGAGTTATGATGTAACAACAATACCTCCCAATGATGCGGATCATCCCGTGTCAACAACAGTCCCCCCACTGGACACACCCAGACAGTCTCTAGTCAAGGAATTCCAACCTGTCAGTCTGTCACCGGTAAGCTGAAGAAATTATTAATTTTTCATCTATTGCAGAATTTCCTGCTGCATGTTTCTTCACTTGCTTATATAGCAGTTATTTGTTAGGTTTTCTAATTTGTTAAAGAAAATAAGAAAAAATTTCATTGGTCACTTTAGATCCTGACTATTTTTTCCCTCTCACACAAGAAAGATAATGGGAAAAAAGGCCACAACAGTATAGATAATGTAGTAGATAGGTTCTTTTGAAGTATAACTTTGTAAAATATTGCAGAAACACTTACAATATATTTGAAATTCAATAATAACTATTATTATATAATAATTGTAGATTCACTTTATGCATAAAATGTCCATGTCCTTATACCAATTAATTGACTAACCCTTCCATCCCATTTATAACATCAGTATAAAGTAGAGACTTAGTGCTTTCATTTCCTATGAAAAAAAATTTCCTCTGAGAGTCCAGATATTGAGAAACAGGCTTTGTGAAATTGCAGTGTTCCATGAATTTTGCAGAAAATGTGTATTGGAGTACCTTGAACGACAAAGAATTAAAATTTGAGCACACCCCTCAGTCCAAAAAATAAAACATTTCATAATCTTCAGAAACAGTTCTATCATTATTTAATTTCATATTTTGCATCAGAGGTTGTGACCTGTATGAAATATGAAAAATAACTGAAATTGTTGGCTATTTTCTACGGAATTTTCAGGATATGGGAAAAATGATGCATTTCCCATGATGTCATAATGCATTGTCTAGTGAAAAAAGTGTGTCATTTTCAATAGATATGCAGTTGCTAAGGGTGCATCTGATATTTAATGCATTGTCAACTAAAACTAAGCAATTCTGATTTTTCAGAAAATTACAGGGCCAAAAACGCCCTAAATGAATCTTGCTCTTTTACATTTAATTTCACTTTTTTTCTATAAACTGCAAATAAACACATTTATTTTGTATTACATGTACTACCCGGTAGTCCAATCAATTTATCAAAGAAACAAACTAATTGCAATGGAATTCTTTTGCTGTAATAAATAAAAAAGGAATGCATAAAATACATGTGGTAAAAAATCTAACAAAATTGGATGAGGGGAAAACACTATTTTTAAATGTTTTATGAAAATTGTTATGGAAAAGGGGCATAACTCTTGTCATTATAGTAAATTTTGGTGAAAATTCTGGAAGTGAATTAAACTCTGCATAATGACATATATAGACGCAGTAAAACCTTTTACCCAGAAAAAAATTTATTACAGATGTTTTAGGCCCACTTTAAATTGTACGTTACTTTTCCTTGCCTCATAATAATTACCGGTATAGTTACCACTGGTAAAGGTTACCAGCTGGAACATATTTAAATTTAAATTTATATTATCTATATAAATCTGTAAAACTCTATCTAAAATATCTAAATCAGATTACACTATCATGAAAAAAGGGATTTCATTTTGTTTCTTTGGCAAAAAAAAAAGGATTGATTTACAGAGTAATGCCCCTTTTCTTGAGTAATTCCCATAATTAAATCATATTCCAAAATTATGCTTTCCCTTCATTAGATTTTTTACTTCATATATATTGTATATGTTAGTTTTCATTTATCATAAAATAATTTCTGTTGCAATTAGTTTGATGTTGGTCCTACATTTTTGCTAAGTTGAATGGACTTTACCTAATAAGCATCTGTCATTTACACCATGCATTATCAAATATAAAGGAGATGGATTAATTTTGTTTAGAATATTTCCAAATCCTTTTTGATTTTTCTTCACTGTAATATGTTAATTTGTACTCCATGCTAGTACATACTTTTCAATTAAAATATGGTTTAAACTAAATGCATTATATATGTATCTTCTTCAAGAGGAAAATTTTAATACAAAATGCAAAAAATCAAATTTAATTTTAAAATGGGTATGATTTACTGTAAAAATTTTTGTAATATACTAAAATAGCTTTTATTGTAATAAAATAAAATTATAATGTTTCCAAAACTCAGAAATCAAGTTTAGATTCTTTAAACTTATCAGTATTTATAAATCTATTAATATTTACAGCCTCTGAAAAAGCTTGCTGGAGACACACATATCAAGAACATGAACCCTGATCTCAAGAAGTACATCATACAAAACCTCAGCATGTATAAAGGAAATGGTAAGCTTGTCTACATGACTTTGGCAAAAGAGGATACAATATATTTTCTGAATGAAGACATTTTTTCCCTGGGAGGGTGGTTAATAGGTTGAATCAGTGAGCATAATTCAGCAATTGATTAAGTTAAAACAAGTTGTTGGAACATAACTGATTTTTTATATATGTCTGTCATTCTTGTTCTTGATTTAAACTATATAATATTTACCCCCACTATATACATGTACTTGCATATTGTCCATCATAGTTACTTCCTTTAAAAAATCACAGTACTGCTGGTGCAAAGATTTTTTCTCTTTATCTGTGGTTTTAGGTGCAGACTGGAGAATGCTAGGAGAAAGGGTAGGGATTCCCCTGGAGACCATTCAGCAGTGGCGCCGATGGAAGGTGGAGAATCCAGCGGAGTATGTGCTTCAGTCATGGGGTCAGAGTGCAGGAGCCACCGTCCGCATGCTTCATCGGCATCTAATTTCACCACAGATGAACTGTATCATTCTTGCCAAACGCATCAGTGACTTTTACTTGGTGGAGTGAAAGAATAGGATTGCCTTATTATACTCGTATAAACTGCCATATTTATTTGTATGCTCACAAACCATGACTACTGCAACACAATAGCACTAGTGATTTAATTTGTAAAAACTTGCAATAGCTAAGCACATAAACTGTTAACAATTTTTTTAACTTTGGTGCCAATTGGAAAGTGAAACATAGTCACTCTATAGATTGATGATATCTGCATGTCTGTCTGATTCAATAATTTTTGTTCAAGAATTAATATTTTGATATATGATGACATACTTAAAGCTATATATTGTGTATCTAAGCTAAAAAATGATAATATGAGATTAAGTGTAGATATACATGATATAATGTTATTTACATTCGAATTAAAATTTTCACCGATTTTGAACTTGAATAGCCTCACGTTTCTGTAATTAAACTGACTTTAAATGTGTTTTTAATTTAAATGTGGAGTCGGTAAATAAATTGATTATTGTTTTAATTTTGTGATATCTTTGAAACGTGGTTGATTTAAATTGTGTAATTTACAGAAAAGGCCTATCTTTATATAAGGTAATAAATCAAATAGAAAGACATTTTTAATTTTGGTTATTTGAACTTAGTCAAAAATATGCCATATATGACTGATATATCATTCTCAAACTTCACATCTAAATAAAAGAGGATGAGATGTTTTAATTAACCTTGATATTAAGGGAAAGAAAAACATTCAACTCTGAAGAGGATGTTCAATTGTCATCATTATCACTTCATATATGTATCGTTTTCTTTAAAGATCTTAATGGAGGTGTACATTTTGTTTAGGGGTAGGGTAAATTGAGTACCACTGAAAATCCTTTTGAGCAAGTAGTTTAGGACTCATCACAACAATCAAAATATATCTTTTTATTTATTTGAACTGTAAATACTTTACAATCTGTCCGTATGGTCTTTAGCAAATATCTTGTAAATTTTATATCAAATCATGAAGTATTCAGTATTATTTGTGAAATGTTTCAGGAGGAAATGTAATCTCAATATATTATTTGTTAATGTTTATTCTTTGTTGTTAAAACTACAGTATATTTATAGTGTAATTATATTTTATTTTTAATTTATATTGTGATTAAAACAATTTTAAGATGATCACGTTTATGACATATCTGCAGTTCTTAGGTGGCCCTCCAGAATACATGTACCATAATGACATAATCACTGTAGTCTAAAAATGTAATGCTGCCCTCACTCACTGTGGAGTACGTAGTAGACATGATAATCTTTATGGAGATTCCATTTGATTAACTTCTTTTTTTGTATGTACAATTGTTCTAATTTGTACATTTATCAACAATACAATCAAACAAATTGAATTAAAAAACTTCTTTACATATGCTTAGGATTTTATGTATGTTTTTTTTTTCATTATGGAGAATTGAATTTGTCAGATAAGCTAAAACTATGTTCTAGATTTAAACTTGTTAATTTGAGTATTAAGATATATATATATGACTTTGTAGATGTACTTATCTACCTCACCTTGTAAATTATATACACTTAATAAAACGTAACACATTCACTCTCAGACTACATGTACTTTCAAAGTCATCTCCAAATGAGTATAAAGGTGTCAGGACATTACCTATGAGAGAAGCTGATGATGATCAATGGTAGTTGTAAAATTTGAAGTATTCCAAAATAGAAATCACTTTGCATTTAGAGAACTAATTTGAACATTATATAATCTTTTTTATAAATTTTCTTCTAAATATCCTTCCACCACAAAAAAAAAATAGTTTCTTTATAATTTTGTGAGCAGTTTTTAATTGAATATTGTATAATTTGCATTGTTTAATTCAAGTACAGTGGCTTCCATTTTATCGGATAGCGGTTTAACGAATATTTCGGCTATTTCAATATAATATCAGAGCACAAAACCATTTCTTATATATTTATTAATAATTTCACCTGATATTCTGATGAGAAAATATTGGAATTTCGTTTTATCCGATACAAAAATTTAGACTATCATAGTGTTTTTTGATAATCAGCACCTTGTTCACACCTCCAACTTCGTATGTGAAGCCTTTGTTTACACAGTTTGACACCAATTACCTTGACTGGCTTGAGTACGACAATGAGGGGATTAGTTACGGCTGGACGCACACAGGCACCTTACCTGTGTCAATAGTGGGCATAGTAAATAGATATGTTTTGATTACAGTTGTGGTGATCAGCTTGGGTTCAATGATGCACTTGTTAATTATGACAATTATCTGCAATTTTTTCGGCGTGAAATTTATTTATTAAACTGATTAGCTTGTGTATGACAATTTACTTGGATAATGAAATAAGCCTATTCAATCGTTTAACTTGGTCAATTGGCTTAATATTTATTCACTTTTCAGTGCAAAATTTATGGTAAAAATAATAAATGGCCCGTTCTATAAAAATACGTCTCAAAATTCATACCATCTTTCTCCACATGGCTCTCAAAATCTCTCTTCAGCAGACAAGAACGAGACTGGTAAACTCACACACAGTATAAAATACGCAACCGTATTAAAGAAACAAATAAAAACGAAACAATTACATATATTTAATATTTTTGTTTATTTTTAATTTACAATCTATCCAGGGAAAAATAGTTTACGGTTATTAGTCAAGCATTTAGTCTACTTCCGTTTCCAAAATGGCGACCATCGAAGAAGGAATGTAAACATGTGCTGAAGAAAGATGACAATAACTATCAAAGAATATATTCTATACGTCAATTTATTTGAAAAAAAAATTTCATATTAAATTCATAAGTAAGTAAAATAAATTATTTTTAGTAAAGTCATTAAGTAAACATGTCAAAAGAAAAACGAATGTGCAAGCTGGAAATTTGCTACGATGTATTATCAATACATGTAGCTCTATGCATCTATCTTTGGACTCGGTATGAAGCAATCGGCTATTCTAATTTTCGGCTATTCGGATAAAACAAGGCTGACAACTTGACTATTCGATAAAACGGGAACCACTGTAATCATATTGCAGAGCTAATTTGATAAAATAAAATCTGTCAGAAAGGACAGTATGACCATTATCTGCCCTAAGGTCTCAACTTGAGTCTGCATTTTGGTGGCTTTTAATGTCACTTATTTTGTTATACAATATGCACCATTCTTTAGTTATATTCTTTTTTTATTTCTTTTTTAGGTCACCTGATGTCACTCAGGTGACCTATTGCTAACCGTTTTTCGTCCGTCGTTGTGCGACGTGCGTTAACATTTGAACATTTTTGGCTTCTTCTCTGAAACCGCTCAACCAATTTCAACCAATTTTTGGCATATAGCATTTATGGGTGAAGGGGAACAAAAGTTTTGAATTTCATGGTCCCTGCCCCCTGGGGCCTGAGGGGTGGAGCTAAACCACCAAAATTAATGCAATCTTTAAAAATCTTCTTCTTTACTCCTGGACAACAAGCAGTCAAACTGTTGGCATGATTGTAATAAGCATTAAGCCCTCTACCAAAATTGTGAAATTCATGGCCCCAGGGTCAGAGGTTCTGGTGCTAAGGTGGAGCTTAGTATAGATCATATAGTGAAAGTGCATTATTTCTTTGAAAATCTTCTTCTCTGCTCCTGGGTATTAGATAAACTAACTTGATGCATAGTTATGATGAGCATGGTTGCCTCTTCCAAAATTGTGAAATTCATGGCCCCTGGGTCAGAGGTTTTGGTGTTATGGCAGGGCTCTATTGATTATATAGTGAGAATGCATTAATTCTTTAAAAGTCTTCTTCTCTGCTCTTGGGTATTAAATAAACTAAATAAGTACATAGTTATGATGAGCAAGAGTGCCTCTTTCAGAATTGTGAATTTCATGGCCCAAGGGTCAGGGGTTCTGGTGTTATGGCAGGGCTCTATTGGCTATATAGTGAAAATGCATTCATTCTTTGAAAATCTTCTCCTCTGCTCCTGGGTATTAAATAAAGTAACTAAGTACATAGTTATGATGAGCAAGAGTGCCTCATTCAAAATTGTGAATTTCATGGCCCCAGGGTCAGGGGTCCTGGTGTTAGGTGGGGCTCTATTGATTATATAGTGAAAATACATTAATTCATTGAAAATCTTCTCTGCTCCTGGGTAATAAATAAACTAACTTACAACATAGTTATGGTTAGCATGGCTGCCTTTTTAGAAATTGTGAAATTCATGGCCCCAGGGTCAGGGGTTCTGGTGTTAGGGTGGGGCTCTATTGATTATATAGTGAAAATGCATTAATTCTTTGAAAATCTTCTTTGCTCTTGGGTGTTAAATAAACTAACTAAGAACATATTTATGGTGAGCATGGCTGTCTTTTCAGAAATTGTGAATTTCAGGTTCAGGTGTTAGGACTTGGCTCTATTGATTATATAGTGAAAATGAAAATCTTCTCTCTCCTGGATATTAAATAAATTTATAAACTAAGTACATAGTTATGATGAGCATGGCTGCCTCCTCAGAAATTGTGAATTTCATGGCCCCAGGGTCAAGGGTTCTGGTGTTAGGGCAGGGCTCTATTGATTATATAGTGAAAATGCATAAATTCTTTCAAAATCTTCTCTGCTCCTGGATATTATTCAAACAAAGGAAGTGCATGGTTATGATAAGGAAGAATGCCGCTTCAAAAATTGTGAAATTCATGGCCCCCATCCTCACAATGTCAAGGTTTTGTGATTTCGGAACTCCACACTAACCCTTGACATAAGTCGTTATTTAAAGGTTGGGCTTGTGGTTACACATGATGTAATGAGTAATTATAAACTAACCAATGAGAATATATTTTTCAAATCCATTGTTATCAAATTGTCCAACTCCAGAACATATCTTAAACTTGTGATTGTAAGGTGGACAATCTTCAAAAAATTAATCTCCAATGTTTCATTTAAAGTAGCTAGTCACAAATCATACAATATTGGCACTTTCTATTTTATAGATGAGTTGTATTTATTTACAAAACTTACCTACAACAAAAGCTGTTTTCTGTTTCCACTCCTAGACCATGAACAAATGAAATAGTAGTTTTCCTAGCCCAACTTTTAAATAACGATTTATGTCAAGGGTTTGTGTGGAGTTCCGAAATCACAAAACCTTGACATTGTGAGGATGCATGGCCCCTGGGTCAGGGGTTCTGGTGAAGGGGTGGGGGGGTGGGGGCTCTATTGATTATATAGTGAAAATGCATAATTTCTTTCAAAATATTTTTTTTTCTACTACTGGTTATAAAGCAAAGAAACAAATGTATAGTTATGATGAGCAAGGGTGCTTCTTCCAGAATTGTGAGTTCATGGCTGCTAGTTCGGATGTTCTGGTGTAAGAGTGGGGCATTATTTATTTAATAATATAGTGAAAATGCATTTCTTTGAAAATCTTCTATGCTT